ATTTGAGATATTTGTCAGCGCAGCGCTGCATTTTACATAATCTTGCGCACTACATTGGACAATGAGCTATATTCAATTACACGGTTGTATATGATGAGACAATAGGCAGTAGTATTTACAGGCGTATTCTCTTTGAGCTCAAATTCTAATCGCACATCCACGGGACTGCTCTTGATGGAATCGTTTTGTCGTGAGCAGTCAATGACTGCCATAGTCATGCAAAATGTTTGGCACACGGATTAGCGTTTCATTGTTTATGTAATGCAATTGATAATAAGATGTACGAAAACATGCAAACATATCATATAAGATAGCAGCTCTATTTTTGTCAAAGTCTAGATTCAGATCATCGTACAGATAAAATTCAGAGTTTAAATAAAGTTTTATGTTGACTAGTTTACAGTTATCGAAGAAAGTTTTAATTGCTCTTATTATTTTTTTATCAGTCTGCATAGCAAAGATAACATATCAAGGTTTTTTAGTTGAATCGTAATCTTTACAGCCCAGGAATGTTTTGTCGTGCTTGGCAATAGTGGGTATTTATACAGATCCCATAAACAGAAACTCATATTCATTGTCAGATATCGTCCACTTTCCAAGGCTCGCAGCATGGATAGTTTATTGACTTCTTTCAATTTAACGTGGGGCATTCGCCATTGTATTTTGAATAACTCAAGTTTCGATTCCGTCGTTCGATCTCCTACGAGGCAATTGTTGTCATTGCGCGCTCGTATCAAAATCAATTCGTGACGAGCATTAATTATCACACGCCTGTAATCCTCGCAAAAGTCAAACAACATGTCGAGGTAAAAACTCAAATATCCATCAGCTGTGGTGAAATTGTTACTTACTGAATCATTCGGGAATAAAAATCCAGCATTATATTTAACCATTGCTTTGTCCGATGACAACGATACATAGTTCTTTAGAGTGGTAGTTAGTTCAACGTTTCTATTGCAATCAATTTCCACATCGTTGAGTTCATATCGATTTCATCAAACATGAACGCCACACAATTATTTCCAAGTATTGCAGTAGTGTTTTCATTTCTCTTATTCAATGTCAATCTTCCTTCGACGTAAAGTGAACTTTCGCATGGCAACGTGTATAAATTCTGTTATTGTATTGGTATCCTTATCTCGTCACTACGTTTAAATGACGTGTTGACATACGGATTGTACGTGTGAGTCTCAATCGACGATGCTGTCGTCAAAGATCGGCTCGTCTCCAATGTTCAAAATATTAGTCATCTTAGCTATGGCCTCGCACGATGAATTCCAATAATTTCAATAATTTAACGTTCGACGCAATGAGTTTCTTTTTACTGGGCGCTCGAGTACTATTGGTTATTATCTTTTTATTAAAAAATGTAACTCTTGTCTGTTTCATTAGTTCATTTAGCACAAGCATCTCACGTTATCGCAATCGTCTCCGTACATGCAATCTAACGGTGATTTCCTTGCCACGAAAATCAAATAATCGGCCGTTTTGATCCATAACGCGAATCGTCAAGGCCGTAATGTTTCGTACGATTATCGGAAGGTATTATCTGTTTCGGTGTTTCCGAGATCTTATATCCTGGCGGTACGCTCGATGAAAACTCATGTATCGTGTGCACGCTTCTCATTGTTGTATGCATCCGTAGTCACGCTGCACTCGATGCGAATGATGTTTATGTTGATGATATTTATCGGAGTGTCAGATTCGTGCCATCGTTACAGTTCCAGGATACGATTCGACGAAAATCCCAACAAGGATCCAATATTTTTAGATTTAATGAAATTAATTTCATAAGTACACCTTATCTCACTCTTCAGCGTGTTGTTGTTGGCGCGAATCGCTATCAAGCCCTTGCTCTTCTCATATTTATCGCCCTTTGTTTTATTCGTCGCAGCATCGTTGGAACGAGATAAAAAAATTGCGCGTTTCAAATACTTCTCTATGTCTTGTATTTTATACAATCCTTTGGGAATTATAATTTCCTTGTCGTCTTTGTCAAAATAAAATTTATTGTTCGACTTATTTACATTGGGTATTGTACAGTAGGTTTCAAAGTTTGTCAAGCCGAATTCGTAATCGCCGTTGCTCAAATCTACGAGTGGAAAGTAGCTTATCGAGAGGACGCTACTCTTGCGAGACAGTGTAAATGTCAGTGACATGTTTGAACAAATACTGTTACGTTACGAGTTTTTGATAGTGGCTCTTCATGCATTCTTTATAAGAAATATATAAGATGGCTACTAATCACGAAGTCGTTCACGCATTGTTATTTTCTCTTCTCACAAAAGTACGGAAGTAAATCCAGTTAATTATACTAAAAATAAATACTGAGTTAAATAACATAATATCAGTCTTTAAATTGATCGTCAATCGTTTGTAAAAATTGCAGACATAGTTGCCCGCAAATGTTTTGATTGTAACGTTGATGAGATGTGCGATTGTACTCGATTTGAGTCACGTTATTTTCTAAGGTATCGGACCAATTTCTTCAGCAGTCAAAGATTTCCAAAACTGTCGAAATATATAGCACGATTTTCCTTCTTGGCACATGCAACTCAATGAGTACCTGGTCCTTCAGCATCATCCAAATTCATGATTCCGCTCTCGTTTCGGTGTACTCTCCCTTTTGGTAAGATAGTACGCATAAAAACACCTTTAAAATATGGAATATGTATGCGGTTTGCCAGTTGTTGCAGTTGTACGTTGGTAGTTATACTCTTGGGCATTTTTAACGTTTTTTTGACATTTTCTTTTTCTCCGTTAAAACTCCTTGTCCGCGCTTGTACGGAGCAAAATAAAGTCCATGACCTTTCATGACGTTATTATAACGTTTCAGTTCTTCCAGTTGACGCTGCATGGCTTTATTATCATTCACTGCCTTTGCAACTCCCGCAGCTCCACCAATCATCAAACCGAGAACTCCCAATATTGGCAGGATTTTTAACATACCACTGCATTTCGCAACTGGTAGTATTCGCTTGTTCATTGTACTCGTCTTCTTTTTTTTGTCTTCGTCTTCGTCTTCAAACCCATACCGATTTTCGTTTTAGCCTTCATAGCAACTCAAACGGCCGTAGCAGCAGCTTTTTCACCGAAAGTCGAATCTCTCGCGGTAATGCATTTCCGCGCTTTCGTGGCGAGTATCTTGTCAACCACGTGTCGTTTAGCAAGATCATTACTATGTGAATAAGCTATGTCGTGCCCGCGACACGCTGCGTCCAGCGGATTAATACCTCGATCACCTCTAGCCAATCGCGTTTCTAAATGCGTTCCCGGGCCGCAAAACTGATATCTTGGGATATGCAGTTTGAAAGAAAGATCAGTTTTAGCGTTGGAGGAAAAAAAACATGCGGTTCGTGCGACAGTCGCAGACGATTAAAATTATGAATTTTGACAAGATACAGCTAATACCTGAGAAAATACGCAAGCATGGAAACTTGCTACCGACTTCTACGCGGTATTATATGCGGCCCGTCAAACTGTGACAAGACAAACGTATTAAATAAGCTTGCTGGAAAGTCCGCACGGCGTACAGTGTGATATTTTGATAATCTAGGTGGAAAAAATTATTACGCCAACGTATATTAATTTTCTTTTGCTTCTGCACAATTTGAATGATAAAATAATATAGTTTAGCATAGTATAACATAGTTTTTAACATAATTTAAATTTTTTAACGGTATGTTTTATAATATACCAAATATACTACATTTATATAAATATGCTTGTAACATATTATACCGCGTTATACCATGTCAGGATTATTTTTACGTTAAATCTGGTTCCTTTCGGGAGTCGATAAAATTCTTAGGTAAGTATAAATTTACTTAAAGTCTGTTCTACAATTGCATAAGCATAGTTGCAAGTAGTTGTAGATGTAAGAATTTACCAATCACAAGTGAATATAAGAAGAGTATGCAATTGTAATTGTTCAGTCCTTAGAACTACAGTCACTTACAACTGCGCTTACGTAATTGTAGACCGGACTTAATTATTTATATAATGGATTCTAATACAAAAGGAGCTATTAAAAAACGTAAAATTAGAGATTTCCAAACTTCATAGTTCGATAAAGATATTTTTAAAAATGATTAGCTCCCCTGTCCTGTAGAGAATAAACCATTTTGCAATGCATGCAACACAATCGCATCAGATGTTGCAAAACAGATCTAGTAAGGCATTTACAAATGGCCAAACATATTGAAAGAGTAAATTTAAATTTAAATTGTAATGCCACCAATAACGTAGATGTAGAAAACACATTGTCATTTAAAGATAAAGTTTGTTACGGCTTTCGAATAAGGACGACCGTTGAGACGAGACAATAACATATACAGTCGTGACTGTGCGCTGTCACTCAGCTGATCGACACTATGTCATCGTCATGGTCACGTGTCCTCTCACTTTTCTTTCGATCAATTCCGAGAAAGCACGCGTCGCTTCTGCGAAGAACTAGCTCGGGCATGCCGGGATCTCTCTACGAGAATCCCGAAGTATAACTCACAAGGGACCCACACAAGGTGCATAATAGCTACAACATAGAGAAAATTATCAGGAGACACGGTAGTGGCTTGGTGTCAAGTTGTGTTTAAAAAACTATAAATATAAATAAAATATAAAAAATATAATATAAAATATCGAGATAAAAATGATATGTCATATATGTCAAGCCATGCCGGGTCTCTTAACGCGAGCCGTCGCGTTGCGCGCCGAGATTTTGAGATCTCAATAATGGTCGAACCGATTAAGTTATAACTAGGCTTAATCGATAGCTTGGGTTTGATTTATATAATGAAAGTGTCTTTATTTTTTCTCTACGTGCCCTACGAGCGGAGATTTTGCAATGCAAAGTCCGAAATGTAGGAATTTCAGATTAAGAAACGTCCTCATCATCATCGTCATTGTCGTCCGTCAGTTGCGGGGTGGGGGAAGTGTACTTTTACAATTTCTGACACAAGAGGCGCTAAAGCGCTTGCAGCCTCGCACGCATCGATCAATGTATATATCGATCGATTGATGTCAGTGATTTCTGACACAAGAGGCGCTAAAGCGCTAGGATTTCTAACCTTGCAGCCTCGCACGCATCGATCAATGTATATATCGATCGATTGATGTCAGTGATATAGTATACAATACAACAGATAAAACAGATCAGTGTGCGTTTAATGTTACGTTGGTTTCTGCACTTAAACTCAAAAAATGAAAATAAAAGAAAGAATCAATCATATTAATTTTAAAGATTCACTGGGCACTCTAATCTGTTCTCTCTGCTGAACGCATATATTTTTTTCAGTGACAAGTGAGGTTATCGTAACCGTGTGTCTTTTTCTCGGATCTCGGATTAACGTGTTCGGAGGATCTTTTACTCGAGGAGAATTACTCCGTCGCATATTCTATTCTTATAATTTGTTTACTTATCGATGTTCCGGTTAGAGGGTTAAAATCTTACCAAGATGGAAAATATGGAGGTAGGTATTTATTATGCATATATAATTTTAACATTTTAATGTTTGATTTCTCTCTATCTTTTCCAATAATTTATAGTTAGATGCTTTGGAAAAGGAATTTGTCACGTTGTCCGAGACGTTGCCGGAAATGCAAGAAATTGAGCCGGTTAGAGCCGCATGAGCCGCACAGCCATCGGTATCCGTAAGTAACACATTTCGCAGGATATTATCTCCTGATTT